GGATTAAAATTTAATAATACATAATTTGTGAATAAACTATAAATATGCCTTAAAAGTAAAAAAACAACACACCAATCACAAACTTTTAACATCTTGCTTCTTTTAAACTAATCCTCCATATTATACAGCTAACAGCCTAAGGCAGAGAGCACTAGATCAGATTGTACCTAATGAACTATTAAACTAGAAACCTCAATTAAATAACTACTTTTTATGAACTAGGAGTCAAGCGGTGATGTTCATCAAAAGATTTCACTACCGACTTTTAATACTTAATGAATAACATTTGTGATAAAATATTTAAATAATTTTTTAACTTTTGAACTTATAATTTAAAAATACTAAAATATTGACAGCACTTAGTCAGATATATAGAAGAGATGACAATTAATATATTCTTTTATATATTTAAGAGCAATTGTTTTATAATAAACGTAACAAAGTAATTTATTTAAAATATACCTAAAGGAAAACTTAAGATGAAGAAACTAAGCAGTATTGGCGTAAGCCCGGACTGGAATCAAAGTCTCTCGGTGACTTGAAAGCCGCTATGCATTACACCTCAAGTCTCTCATACAAAACCGAAATAAAAAAAAAGAATGAATATAAAATACAAAAAAGAGTTTGTATAAAATACAATGAGCTAACATATTTTATTTTCCAAGGTTTTGGTGAACTTTATTGGAGCAGTAAAGTATCAATGACAAAATTATTATTACAATCGGCAAAAAATACAGAATAAAATTAATACAACTAAATTATTAAAAACATAAAATAAAAGGAATATTTATTTATATTTATTCATTAAAAAATACGCACACTATACTATATTTAAAGGAAAAAAATAAATTATTAAAATAAGAATATGTCTATAAGTAAAGGAAAGATAATGTTTAAAGCATAACAAAATAACTGAATACATTGATTTAAATTTTATATTTAGCCTCTCCATGATTCTGATTTTTTATATGCCAGTCAATTTTAATACAATGAAAATTTCACTTTAAACATTTATTAAGATCTGTCAGAGAGCAAATGTGCTGAAAATACAAGATATACAAGTACTCAGCAGCATAAAAGCACCTCTTCCTTAGTTTTTTTCAATTATGTAAGTTGTTTAAGGAAGGTCTTTGGTCCAACGCCATTTTAATCTCCTACTCATATTCAGAGATATGTCAGCTGTGGTCATGTCTCTTATTAAAATGTTGTTATTTCGGTTTAAATTTGTATAAAATCGTTGGTAATGGATCGCTATGTATTGATCAACTGTTGGAAGGTGAAGGTCAGTATATAGTGCGTTTTGTTAGTCACGTACCAATGTGCTTTTGTTAAGAGTCGCAATAATTTCGATTGGAAGATTTAAACTTTTTGAAGATGGATCCTTTTAGCGAAACCATATATCTGTGATGAGTATGTCCACATTTATCCATATCCACATTGGGTTTAAGTATGTATATATTTTAAATAACTTCAACTAATTTATTTACGAAAACTCTCGGAATTGGGGCGTTTCCAATCTGGAGATAGCCAAACTTTGTTTATTTAACTAGGTACTAAAACTCGTATATATCCATTGGCTTTCGCCATGGATAGTAAAATAATTTGTTTAAAAAAAAACGAGAAAAAAGGTGGCCTACAAAAATATTGGGACGTTTATCCTATACAACCTCGTTATTTTGACATTTTAGAGGAGTAGGTCACGCCAAATGGCTCGATATTTTTGTCGAGTGTATTTTTACTTCTTTCTCGAGTTTGAGCTCAAATTATCTTACGATTCAAGTCAAAAGCAGGATATTTACGAGTTTTTAGTACCTAATTATATAAACAAAGTTTGATGATCCCCAGATTGAAAACGCCCCAATTCCTAGAGTTTTCGTAAATAAAATAGTTGTAGGTTACGATGAGATGAAGTTATCTACGAAGTTTCAGGCGGATGTTAATTATAATACATTTTTAGAAAGAATTCGTTCACGTGAAGTTTGTGAATGAATAATAAACATAAGTTCATGTCACCATATCTTTCAACAATTACGCATTATTTTGAAAAATCCAGTTTTATAAAGAACAACAGAAAATATTTCTAAAAACAATTTTCCATCTGAACTTGGAAGTAAGTGTCATTATCAGATCCCAACGCTTCCAACAATCCAATGAATGAACAGGCACAATCACTCTTTTAAAAAATTTAAGTAAAAAAATAAAACGAAATAGCATAAAATATAAAAGTCTAAGTAATAAATACAATCGAAAGACCATATACGAAAACGTTAATTTTTTTTCTGAAATGTGATTTACATGTCTCTTCAGTTAACCTCTTTTTCAGGCCATTATGTAATGATTATTTTTCAAACCACAATTTTGGTCAGCCAAAAATATAAATAAATAAAAAAAATAAGTAGGTAATTTGCAATAATAATAAAACCTGAAAATCTTGTTTATTTGAAGGTCCTAAATTCAGCATCCCGAATTCTATATCAAAAAATGTTTTTGAATTAGGTTATTTGTTGAGCAAGGCTTAGGCTTAAGGTGATCCAAATGTAACGGGATTTACCATAAATAACAAACATCTTGAGCACAGAGACAAACTTTTAAGCGTATTGGAGTCGACTGTTTCTCTCTCTATGTTAACTTATCTAAATTTGATTGAAGAGAAATTCAACACATATTACAAGGAGAAAAAAATATTAATATCGTTTAAGCTGAAGTATTGTAAGTTTTCTTTGGGACATACTTGGCGTGTTCGACAAATAAAATATATATTTTTTTTTCAATTTAGTTAATGAGATTTATGTTTCTTATATATATAAAATATGTAAGTGCAAACTAAATTTGAACTAAAATAATATTTTACTTTCAAATTTAAATAAATAAAATTTACTTTCTTCTTCTGCTTCTTTTAATATTACACATTTACTGGAACGGCTTGCCTCTTTTGAAGCAACAATATCACTACTTTTCAAAAATTAAGATGGACTATTATAATTAATTAAAAAAAATTAAGTATTTTGCCTTAGCTTCTTTTCCTAGTAAATCCGCGATGTAAATACATTAATTAACAGATTGACATTGTACATATAACAATCATATTTATATGTACATAGCTATGTAGAAAAAAATACTGACAATACAAAAACTTGAACACAATTGCAATCGGTGCAATTATTAACGATTTATATTGTTTATTAAATAAATATTTTTCTCTTCTTAAATATTAATGAAATTGCGTTACATTTTTACTGGTTCTTTTTTTTATAATATTCTTTTATAGCATAATTGGTGAGATATATATAATAAATATTTATAACTGATAAGTTATGTACCCTTATTTATTTTTTTATTAGTTACAATTAATGAAATCGTTGAATAAATTCTAACTACGCCTAACTCAATTCTGATAACTTAACAAGAAGTTAAAAAATGAACCTATTTATGGCAATCTACCTTATGGCCTCCTTTTAATAATTTGTAGCACGTATAGTCCGTGTTACAGAACTCTTTATCAAATTATGAATATCCGCCTAAAACTTTGTGGATAGCTTCATCTCATCGTAATCTAGAACTTTTTTATTTATGGACATTCTCGGAATTGGGGCATTTTCAATCTGCAGATCAGCAAACATTGTATATTTAATTAGGTACTAAAAACTCATGAATACCCATTTCGCTTGAATCGTAAGCTAATATGATAAAAAAATCGAGAAAAACGTCATTTTAAGATACCTAACTCATTTTCGTTAAAATTTATAAATATGAAATACATTTATTTATTGATAAACAATAAACAGACAGAAAAAAAACCAACACTATTTTATTTTAAACCTAATATAAAATAGAGAAAAAATAAAATATAACAGCAACATTTTTGAGTTTTTTTATCATGTCAAATAATAAAATTATGCCACAAATAAAGGTAGAATTTGTATTTTAAATAATACGAAGACTACTAGATACTACACTCACGGATCCAGAAGAATTTTAAATTCCTCACAAAGTGTAATATGGGACGATATCTCATCGTCATGGGAGAGGGCGCAGCCTTATCACACATAGATAAGGGCCAGCGTAGTCTTCCGCAACATATATTTTTCGTGGTAAATTGTAAAAAAAAAAATCTTTATTATTTTATAAAATTACGAAAATAAAAATAAATTAATAAAAAAATTATTAGTTTTAAAGTAATGCAAGAGATAATTGATAGTCCATTCTGGCGAGCCTCAGTTCTAATTATAGACGTTTGTTACTTTCTAATCAGCAGTTCGCCACTTCGAGCATTGTCGGCGCCTTCTTCACGATAAAATACATCAATCAATGGAATTATAAAACGCTTGTATTAAATATGTCAAATTATTCATTTTATTACTGTGAAGATCTCTATAATAATATTGTAAAAATATTTATTATCAAATAGATGTATTTATTTTTTATTAAAAGATAAAAATATAATCCTTCCACGACAGTGCGTTACATAACCATAAATTCTGAACTGTGATATTTTTCTGTTAAATTACATTAAAGAAAAGAGTTGATAAAATAAAATGTTATTAATTTATTTTTTTTTAATTGATATTATATTCAACTGTAATGAATTTTTAAATAAAATAATTATAATATATGTTTACTCATTGGAGATATGGATATAAAAAAATTTACTTTTTTCTTAGATAATATAGTAACTATTTGAAAGGTACATTGCTACGCAATGATGCCACGTAGGCCGTTATTATAACACGCGTTTTCTAATAGTACGTTGTATGTAGAGAGAGAGAGACAAAAGAAAAAAAAAAGAGTTGAATATGATGAAAATAAAAATTTGCGAGGAATGTAGAGCATTTTTAGCAACGTCGGTCCTGCGACTGATAAGAAGATCCAGCAACATGGCCGACTTGGCGGTCACCCCACACCGTACGGCGTCGAACCCTCGGACCAGATAGTCCGTAGAAGACTCCACGGTGAAGGAAGAGTATTACCTGAGGATATAGTAAGACTAGAGGAAGACTCACCATGGGCAGAGAGGACGGGCACCGAAGGCATGGGCAGGCCGGTGGTCTCTCATCTGGCTCTGCAGCGCTGGTCGGGTCTTAGGAATCCTAGTAACTGCTAAGGTCTGATCGAGGGTACTAACACTTAGTAATGGATGGCGAACTACTAACAACCGCTGAGAACAACACACAGGGCACACACTACATCACACAACCTCCACACGACTGGCCGCCATACTGCCGTCTTAGCAGCTGGCGGCATCTGGTGGCCTTCGTTATCAGCAGTCTCTCCTACTCCATCTTACTTGCCTCCTATCATCTTCCTTCCCTATATCTATTGTATTAATGTATTTGTAGATATTATCTATTAAAGTATATAATCCACTCTTCACTATCTCATGTCATAGATATTATTTATTATTAAATTAAAATGAACAATTTAAATAAAAGTGAAAATTTAAATACTCATTTCTCAATATTTGTATCATATAAATTTAAACAGAAAAATCTGGTGCGCGCAACACACAACTTTCACTTACCGATCTACTATGAATAGAAATTATTTTCTGGCAATACTGGGCTATTATAAATTTTTTTGAAGTGCATTTTAAACGGAGCTTAAGCTTAAAGCTTACAGATAACAATTCATTAAGACCATTATAATTACAAAATGTCTATTTAATATATCGACAACTGGCAATAAAAATCTAGTCACTCCATCTGCTTTTATAAACCACACAACTTTCTTTGCTTTTATAAACTTCAAAATGACTAACTCTATTTTCAATATTTTAGTAATATTTTTAGTTGAAAAAGTTATCTATGCAGAATATGAGTAAGTTGATTCCGGAGGTGGTGATTGCAGTGTTGAAATATAGAACTGAGAATAGAGGTATAAATTTAGATACTTATTTCTTATGAAAAATGTTCTTAGGAAAGATACTTTATTAAATATCTGTCGAAAAAAGGTTTTTTTAGCCTCAACAATTAAAAAAGTATATTTTAAATTTATTCAAATTTTCGCCTCTTCAGGGAAAAAAACTAGAAACCATATCTTTCCTCCCAATTGTCCGATCTTAACGATTTTTTTTTTTTTTTGATTTTTCAGGAAATTCCATAAACTTTTAAAAAACCATATACAATATCCCGAAAAAAGTGTATACTTTTGAGTTATTCGGAATTCGCAATACTTACCCTTACTATATATTACATATATACGTAAGTGAAAGTTAAAATATTTAAAAATCGTGATATCTCTACTAATAGTGTTTCGATTTCGATGAAACTTCTTTTGTTTTTTAGGCAATTTAAATACCTTTGAAACATTTTATCACAATATCCCGAAAAAAGTGTATACTTTTTGAGTTATTCGGAATTTAATTTTACCATCCCTCGTAACTTTTTTTCCAGCTTCTTTTCGTTGAAGTATGTTATATAGATAAATTTGAAGGGTGTCGAGAAAATGACTTCAGCGAAGTTTCATTGAAATCGGTACATTTGTTTAGGCGCTACAGTCTATAGCTACGTTTTTCTGCATTTTTTTTTTCTCCTTTATTAACTTATAAAATTCTTTCAAAAGTTATATTTAGTATTTTTTCATTACTTTGAATAATATGAAATGATAAACTTTTAAAAAGAAACCATATTAAAGGTACTTTAGAGGAAGACGTATATGAACATTGGGCATTTAAGCCCTGTAAAGTGACATCACTGAGGATAAGACCTAATTGATATTAAAGACCACTTAATTATACAATGATAAACCGAGTTTAATCAAAATCGTTAGAGCCGTTTTTGAGAAAATTGTGAAAATGTGTTCAGCGTTGATATAAAGTGGCACTTCCGGTTAGCCGATTTTAAGGAAAAAGTTGCCGTCACATCTTAGGCATATACCTATCTTAAATACGTAATATCAGTTTCGTAGAACTTTTCGTTTTCGAGCTAGAGTGTTCACATACAAACACACAGACACACAGACCATTTTTCGGGACTTGGTCATTTCGACTCAGGGTACCTCAAAACGTCTATTTCCGTTGAAAACTCAGATTCAAAAATTTTCTCGATCACAAGACTTACTCTTAATATATATTACATATATACGTAAGTGAAAGTAAAAAAAATGAACTATAGTTTTCAGCATATATAAAAAAAAAATCATTTATATTTTAAGTTATAATTGGAAATTTAATATAATCCAACTTTATATCTGAATTCTATTCATAAAATAAAAACAATATTTAACACATCATTTTTGTCTCTCAGTGAGTTTTTACACGTTTATATTAAAAATTATTTTTCTAGTCATATCATTCAGGTTCGATATCATTTTCTCATTAGTTTTTTATAAAATATTAGGCCAAAGGTCACCAAATGTACACAGTTTTTACATCCTGTATTATTTATTCGACGTTTCGGCTTCAGGAGCCATTTTCAAGATCCTGTAAACTAATTTTAATTCAGTTGTTATACTTCACAATACATCCTTATTAGACACATATTAATTTAACAAATATCAGTTATAAAAATAGTCCAAATTCTATTTTATAAAAAATTTTTATCATCTACTTACCATGCACCGCTTCATAAAATTTCTAAAATCTATCATTACAATTCGTCTTTTAGTCATTCGTTTTTTTCACTATGCTTGTTTGACCTTTGTTCTTTTTATAGTGGTTCATTTGCCTGTTAGTAGAAAATAAATTAATCGAAAATTAGTATTCGATTCAAAATTTATAACCAATCCTGCTGAATTGAAATTTTGTGACTAATCCAATTTCTTGAGTGAATAATATATAGCTGAAGAGGAGAACGAAGTTTTCCTCGAAACGTTCAAATAAATTTACAATCAAATACTAATTTTTGATTAATTTATTTCAAACCAATAGGCAAATGGACCACTACAAATTATTTATATTTATGAAGATAGTAGATTGTCCGGAAAATAATGCACGATTCCAACTTTTCTTTATGTTTTATATTTTTATTTTAATAGTTTTTTTGTTTGTGTTATTGTCAACAGTTGTTAATCGTGTTTTGAAAAAAAAAATATATTTATCTTCTTTATCCTTTCACTAGTAGGAAATAATTTAATCTTTACTACAATGCCAAAGCACGATTTTCGCATAATTTCATTTTATGAGTTTAAACCCAAAAGGCCAGAAATATTATCGAGAAGACCTCAGCCTTGAAGACAACCATGTTTGTGGAAGAACTTGCAGCCTCGATGAAGTTGTTCTGCGATCTTTGGCCGAAGAAAATCCGAGAACAACTCTTGCAGATCAACTCTCAGTTAGCAATTCGATCATCTCGCGGTATTGGTGAGATAAAAAGGTTTGAATTAAAGATTATTCATAGATTAAACGACCACAAAAAAAGTTAGGAATTTAACACTGCACTTACTTACCGAAACAGAATCCTACAGACCTTTCTCCTACCGACTACCATTATTTTTATTCGTAATGTAATCGCCCAATAAACTTAACCACACTAAAAATTTGAGGTTTTACGTTTCAGGATACGTAGAACTCGAAAATCGATTAAACAGTGTTTTGCCCGTCCGCCGTATGCCGTCTGTGCATTTTCTCCGAGACCACTGAACGATTTTTTTTTTCAAATTTGGAATCAAAGTCAGATTGATCCTCGCGAATTGATCCTCCTTCATCGACATTACAATCCAACTGTTCCTTTCAAGGTGGCAGCCGAAAAAACTTTGCAGGTATAGACTCTAGGACTTAAACGAATTTACCGATTTCAATCGAACTTGGCTAAATTCTTCGCCTCGATGCCCTTTAATATTATTTATATAACATACTTCAGCAAAAAAAAAAAAAAAGCTGGACAAAGTGTAACTAGGGGTGGTAAAATTAAATTTCAGAATAACATTAAAAGTATACACTTAGTTGTAGATCTTCAAAAGTTCACAAACTTTCCTTTAAAAAAATCGTTGAAATCGAACTATTTGGAGCAAAAATATGGTGTTCTAGATATTTTTCGATATTATACTGCAAAGGTTATATCCTTTGTTTTGGTTTTTGATTTTTGAAAGTGTTACTGCAGCAATGCTATTTTTTTTTAGAAAATTACTAGTGATGAAAAAAAATCTTTAGACCAATGATAGGAATCACCTTTTATTTATTTGTATTTATTTTATCAGGAAGGTAATGTTACTTTAGATGTATAATTATTTGGAAATAATAAACCATTGTGTAATGATTTGTAGGGTTTTGTAGTTATCTGGGTCATTTTTTAGAGCTTTTTTTGTTTTATTCAGAATATTTACAACTGTATTGATATAAAAATACATCTAGCAAAACATAAACAAATGAATAAGATGACATAAAAAGCTTGTTGAGATACTACCTAGCAGTAGCACTCTAACAGTATATCGACATTAGGAGATCACGGGGCCATCTTCTTTTCAGACACCTAGGAAGGAGGGTTATCAGTAATCGAAGAGAAAGCAAGGTTATGAACGAGAGGGTTCGCATTGTTTTGAAGTTTATTATGGAAGGATTCGGCCAAATCGGGCACATAAGAAACGTTAAGGTCATTAGGAACGATTTTACTAGTGACAAAGTAAGGAGCATAAAGGATTTTACGAAGAGTTTTGGATTGTAAGAACTGCATACGAAAGGAAAGTGGAACCCCAAAGCTCAAATCCAAATAGACTTGCTTTATATGTCATATAGTCATATACGAATGAATGAAAAATAACTTTATTCTTGGACAAAAATGCCCTTAGAATAACAGCAGAGTTCAAAAAATAAATACATGTTTGAATGAATGAAAAATAAAAAAGTTTGGCATGTAGCTATAATACAAATATATACAAAGAATCTTAAGAAAAATATAATTATATATAAAAAATACTAAGAGAAAACTTAAAGTAAAATTGGTCTTATTAATTCACTGTAGGCAAGCAATCATAATCACATAACCTTAAAATTCTTACAAGCTTGCTGAAGTTAAATGTGAGGTGGAGGAATAGGAGTTGTTTGAAGGAATTTGGCGTTTACATTATATATATATATATATATATATATATATATATATATATATATATATATATATATATATATATATATATATATATAAACTATTTTGTAATTAATTGATCAAATTATTAACATCCGTATAAAATTCGTCAATGGCTTCATCATATTGTAACGAAAATTCGATGAATGGAGCGTTTTTCATTAGATTAATTAATTTAATGACATACTAAGCACTTAT